ATATTTTAAAAAGAAATATTTACATCAAAATTGCCTTATTGATTTTTTCATGTACTTAGTATTAATTTTTATGCCACATATAACTGAGTAATTTGTGGTATATTTGAGTGTCCTATGTTAACACTGTATTGAAAAGAATTGGCAGACACAGAAGAATATAATGAAACAACACATGAGCAAGAGCTTGTGGTGATAAAGGAAGAAGTTCAAGCTGCTTTGAAGAAAATAGCAAAAAATAAGGCCCCAGGAATAGATGGTATAACAATTGATGTATTTCAACTAACAGATGCTGCCCTGGAGGTGCTCAAGTTGTACCAAGAAATCTGGAGAACAACCACTTACTTGGCCAACGGATTGGAAGAGATCTATATTTGTTTCCATTCCAAAGAAGGGTTACCCAGCAGAGTGTGGAAACTATAGAACAGTATCATTGATTTCACATGCAAGCAAGATTCTACTGAAGATTATAAAAAAATGACTGGAGAAGCACATCAGCACAGAACTGCCAGAAGTCCAGGTTGGGTTGAGAAGGGGTCGTGGTACTAGGGATATTGTAGCTGATGTTAGATGGATCTTAGCTGAAAGTAGGGAATACCAGAAGAATGTCTATCTGTGTTTCATTGATTATGCAAAGGCATTTGACTGTGTGCATCATAACAAACTGTGGCTGACTCTGAGAAGAATGGGAATCCCAGAACACTTGATTGTTCTCATGTGATACCTATACTTTGGACCAAGAGGCAGTCGTCAGAACAGAGCAAGGAAACATTGCATGGTTCAAAATTGGGAAGGGCGTACACCAGGGATGTGTCCTGTCTCCATACCTTTCAACCTGTATGCAGAACAGATTATCTGGGAGGCTGTTCTCTATGAGAAGAAGTGTGGCGTTAGGATTGGTGGAAGATCTGTCAACAGTCTGCGTTATGCAGATGACACAACCATGCTTGCTGAAAGGGAGGAGGACCTGAAATGCTTGCTGCAGACGGTCAAGGACTGCAGCTTTCGGTATGGATTGAGGCTCAATATCAAGAAGACAAAGTTTCTCACCACTAGACCAGTTGGCAGCATCAGGATGGATGGTGAAGAGATTGAGATTGTACACAGCTTTAGTCTGCTTGGGTCCATAGTCAACACTCTTGGCATCAGCAGGCAGGAAATTAAAAGACATATTGCGATGGGAAAGTCTGCTGATAAAGACCTCTCCAAAGTACTGAAGGGCAGTGGTGTTACTCTGGAGACTAAGGTGCATCTGCTACAGTCCATGGTCTTTGCAATCTCTTGTTACGCATGAGAGTTGGACAGTGATTAGGGAGGATAGAAGGAGAATTGATTCCTTTGAGCTTTGGTGTTGGAGAAGAGTATTGAATGTACCATGGACTGCCAAGAAAACAAACAGATTCATCCTGGAGAGGGTTAAACCGGGCTGCTTCTTGGAGGCAAGGATTCTGAGCCTTCGCCTAACATCCTTTGGACATGTAAGGAGGGACCGGTCCTTGGAGAGGGACATCATACTTAGGAGGGTGGAGGTACCGCTCAAGAGGGGAAGACCCTCTACGAGGTGGATTGATTCAGTGACTGGGGTAATTGGGATGGGTGGGTCGGAGGCAGTGCGATTGGCAGAGGATAGAGAAGTGTTTAGGGCTGTTGTACATAGGGTACAAGCGACTTGAAGGCACGTAACACAACAACAACATGTTAACACTTTTTTTTTGAGAAGGCTTTTATATTATTACAGGTGAATAATCTGATAAAGTACAATTTTAGTATTTGTATTAAATTTACAGTGACTCTAAATTTAGTTCTTTATATTCCTTTTACAGCATCTTCAGTTAGCTTTGGTTGATTGTAATTCCTGCACGTTGTCCAATGCTGAAAGTAAGTATTAAGGTTCTACAGTTTTCTACGTATATTAAGATATAACATGAGAGAGAATGGCATTATTGATAATTCCTGTGGAAGGTTTTGCAAACTTTGAATTGGTTTCTATGTCATTTAAGGAAAATGTCACATTAAGAATTTTGATAATTACCAGTTCGCTCCCCTCTCCGAAAAGAAAAAGATTAAAAAAAAAAATTTGACAATTACAAGTTGTAGGGGTTTTTGTTACAAGTTGAGTTTTCTATGAATTATTTGTTTTTTTAATTGGTACACAGTTATTTCAAGTGAAAGGTAGTCTCATGTTTAGAAATAATACCTGCTTAAGAAAGTAATGTTGGTTTTGTAATGTAGTTTGTTGATCCTCTAGTGAGTTTTGAGAGACAGTTTAATCCCATTTTTCTCTCATGGAGCAACTGGTGGATTTAAAACACATACCTTCAGGCTGCCAGCACAGTTTCTTATATTTAAGCCATCAGAGCTCTGTAATAAAAAAAAGATAGGAAGAAAATGCTCTAGAGTTTTGACTATGAATAGATATGTTAGGAACTGGGATTAAGACATAACATGAATTAAATTGTCATAAACAACAGACTAATTAGGGCATTGTCTTTTTCAAGGCAATTTTTGAGAAAATGTTCATTTTTTACTATAAATTTTTTATAAAAAATTCAGTTTTTTACTAATCATTGTGATGGCAGACTGAATATTGAGAGCGTAGCAAAATGCAGCAGTATTTTAAAGTTTCTAAGTGGCATCAGGATATGAGGAAGACTTAAACAACCTATGGTATGCACATGAGAGGACTTTATTGAAAGTGAGGAGAACTTGAAGCACTTTCTGCAGAAGATCAAAGGATACAGCATTCAGTGTGGATTACATCTCAACATTAAGAAGGAAAATACCCTTAACGCTGGGCTGATAAGCAACATCATGATAGATGGAGAAAAGATTTAAATTTTCAGTGTTTTAACCTTGAATGACCCATAGTCAACACCCTTGGCACAAGCAGTCAAGAAATCAAAAGACATATTGCAATCATCTCTCCAGTGTACTGAGCACTTTGAAATTCTCTTTGTTCTGGCCGTGATCTTTTCAGTTACTTGCTGTGCATCTGAGAACTGGTTAATGAATAAGGATAACAAATTAATTAAGTGACACCTTTGAGTTGTGGTATTGGCGAAGAGAACAAAATATCCCATGGAGTGCCAAAAAGCCAAGCAATCTGTCTTGAAGAAGATGCAGCTAGAGTGCTCCTTAGAGGCAAGAATGGCAACGCTTCATCTAATTCAGACATATTGGGGCTATTCCTGGAAAGGTACATCATGCTTGCAAAGGTTAGCCAAAGAGGAAGAACCTTTACGAGATTGATTGACACAGTTGGCAGCAATAGCCTTAAGTATATCAGATGAGGATGGCATAGGATAGGATGGGATTCTTAGGATCGCCATGAATCATGCTTATATGACAACACCATAGAAGAAGCTGTATTTGAAAGAAAATTTTAACTTTTTTATTTACTTTATAATGAGTGTTGATTTATACTTCATATACTTGAAAGTACTTCTTGTACATATGAAAATCACTGATTTTCATTGAATATAGTACCATCTGATACTTCAACTTGGTAGGTATTTGTTAATTTTTTTTAATTTAAAAATTTTCTATTTTATTTTATTAATTTTAATGAACATTTACAGAGATTTTGAATTTCCATTCATTCATTGTTGTACTTTCTCCCTGCCCACCCCACCCCCTATTTGTTAATTTTTATGATAACTTCTTGTTGATGTTTTGTAAATGTCACAAAAGTATTTTGGTGAATATTTTATCCGAATTAAGGTTAATCTCAATATTACTATTAAAAGGAAACATATCTAAAAGGAGTGCCACAAATTGGGAAATTTTCATGTTGAATTTGAAAAATATTCTTTGAATTATCATGAATATATTTTCAAATCAATATGCCTGCCTTTTTCTTATTTATTAAAAAGAGACATAGTAGACAGTGACTAGTGTCCTATATTGTCTATGACTAAGGAGTGTATTGAGACTTCCAGTGTTAATGGATTGGTTATTCCTTTTTTATTATTATTATTATTTTTGTGTGTGTGTACCGTTAAATTGGTTATTCCTTTATTATTATTATTATTATTATTATTATTATTATTATTATTTTTTTTTTGTGTGTGTGTGTGTGTGTGTGTGTGTACCATTAAATCAGACCTGACTGGTATAGGAGGAGATTATCCCTCCTTCTTCAGCAGAGCATCTGGTAGATTCGAACTGTGCACCACTGGGATTGCAGTGCAGCTTCTTGCCACTAGGCCACCAGAGCTCTCCTGGATTGGTTATTCATAATGAGGAAACACATGAATTATTTACAGACTTTAATATATTATATTTTAGTTGATTTGATGTTCGTCTACCTAATTATTGGATAGCTGTGATAATGACTCATATCTCACAGACCAATAACAACTATTAAAGTAGGGACTGACTCATAGGTGACCCTTCAGCGCATTTTCAGTGGCAGTAAATTGCATAGGACAAGATTGCCTCTCTTTCTCTCATGGAGTATCTGGTGGATTCGAACTGCCTTCCTTTTTGTTAACAGTACAGCTTCTTACCACTTACACAAGTGTAGAGGACCTATTTTGTATCTTGGGAAGAAACCCAAGCTCTTTTATTAGAGCCTAGTACTTGAGTATTTCTTTACACTAGAATTCTCTGTATTTTTAAATTTTTTATATAATATTTGTCTTTGGGTTTTAAAAAAAATATCACTTATTCAAGCCTCAAGTTACAATAGTTAAGAATGCTATGGGCAGAATATTGAATGGTCCAGGAAGCATATAAAGAAGACAGAAGGAATACACAGAGTCACTTTACCAAAAAAGAGTCTAAAAATACTATTTAACTTGGGAGAGGCTGGAGAGCATTATTCTCAGTGAACTAATGCAGTTTCATAAGGACAAATAGGGCATAAGACCACTATTATAAAAATAGAAGGATAACTATTAAAACATGTATGGCATCTAAAGTGGGAGGGAACTGTGAGTCTGGAGAAGTGAGCATAGGTAGGGGCAAAACCACAAGGCTGCAGAGTTTGATAGGGAGAGGAGGACAAGGAGAAAGGGGAAGGATCTTGGGGTAAAGACAGGACAAGTTAAAAAAAAAATAGACAGGCAAGGTACAATGGTCAATTAGTTTTATAAAACATAATGCATGAGAATGATTGTATTAAACACAATGTGAATAAAGAGTACTGTGAAACACTGTGCATACTAACTTTGTAAGCAAACCAATTTTTAAAAATGGAATTTGCTAACATAGAAAAATTTCATGAACAAGTGGCAATAAAGGAGGAAATTCAAGCTGCTCTTAAGGAGTTGGCAAAGAACAAGGCACCAGCAGTTTATGGAATACCAATTGCCATATTTCAACAAACAGATGCTGCCTGGACACACTCACCAAGTTGTGTTAAGAAATCTGAAGGACAACTACCTGTCTAGCTGACTGGAAGAGATCTCTGTTTGTTCCCATTTCAAAAAAGGGATGATCCGACGGAGTGTGAAAATCATCAAACATTATCACTGATAACACACACAAGCAAAATCCTGCCGAAGATTATCCAAAAACAACTGGAAGAGTACATTCACAAAGAACTACCAGAAATTTAGGCTGGCTTTAGAAGAAGCCGTGGTACCAGAGATACTAGCACCAATGTCAGATGGATCTTCCCTGAAAGCAGGGAGTACTAGAGGAATGTTTATCTGTTTCATTGACTATGCAGAGGTTTGTGTGGATCACAACAAATTGTGGCTACCCTTGAGAAGAATAGGAATACCAGAACAATTGATTGTGCCTATGTGAAACCTATGCTTGGACCAGGAAACAGTCCTGAGAATAGAGCAAGGAAACACTGCATGTTACAAAATCAGGAAAGAAATGTGTCAAGGATATATCCTGTCTCCATACATTTTAAATCTATATGTGAAAAAGATCATTCAGGAGGTGGGACTTTATGAGAAGAAATGTGAAATCAAGATTGGAGGAAGACTTATCAACAACTTTTTTAAATGGAGATGGTATAGCCTTGCTTGCAGAAACTGAGGAGGTTCTGAAGCATTTGCCCCAGAAGATCCTACTTCCATATGGATTGAAACTCAACATCAAGAAGACAAAGATTCTCACCACTGGGGCAATTAGCAGCACCACGATAGATGGAGAAGAGATTGAGATTGTTAATAATTTCAGCTTGCTTGACTCCACACACTTGGCACTAGCAGTCAAGAAATCAAAAGAGCAAAAAAAGAAATCAAAAGAGCAATTGCTCTTGGAAAGTGCTGTCAGGGTCTTCTCAAAAGTGCTGAAGAGCAGTGAAGTCAGTCTGGACACGAAGGTACGCCTGATTCAGGCCATAGTCTTTGCAATTACTTGCTGTGCATCAGAGAACTGGAAAGTGACCAAAGATGACAGAAAAATTCATGAATTGTGATGCTGGAGAGAAGAGTTATATTGAATATGCCATGGATTGCCAAAAGAACAAATAAATTCATCCTAAAGAGGGTGAAATCAGGCTCCTCCTTGGAGGCAAGGATTTTGAATCTCTGTCACACATTACAGGAAGACCACAGATGAGATGGATTGACACAGTAACTGAGATATAATGGGTGTGACTGTTCTTTGAAATTTTCCCATGCTACCTTATAAGACAAAGGGTAAAAGTGCACAGGGAAAAAGGTGATATTTAAAAAAAAAAATAGTGCACATGAGACCTTTCTTTTATGGAACAATTTAAGTGTGTACTTTTTTAAAAAATTAGTATACTTGCAACTTTTTGAGCTAGTCAAAGATTAATTTCAATTGTATTTTGGGGGGGAAAAAAGCACTGTGATAAAAAATTTTCTCTTATAGGAATATGATTGCCCCTTAGGGAAAACTTTATTTTTTTCTTAAACTGAGTCTAAATGTACTTATTTTTAAATAATGTTTTCTTTCAAGACCTTATTTGGAAATATTTGATAAAATGTTAACCAAATTTAGGGATGTCAGATTGAGGTTTGTTTTTTTTTTAGTAGACTAATGCTCTTTTTTAAAGGGAATTTTTAGGACTTGACATGCACACTGGATTTAGTAATGAACTAAAGATCTTTTCCTTACATCTATGTAAGAATTGAGATTTGTTGTGATAACAAGATGCTATTAAATACTAATCTTCCTACCCCTATTAATAACTTAACAACACAGAACCCAATCTTTATAAGGAGAAACGATTTGGACTAAAGTGTCCAAGGAGGACTACATTGGGAGTAAAAGAGAACCAGTGTAGATACAAACCCCCAACCCCCCAACCCATCTTTATCCAAAAATACAAGAAAAACTAAAGTTACCAAGGAAGATTATGTTGGGCTAAAACAATAAACAAATGTAGATGCAAAGAACTCCATCTTTCTCCGAAAATGTAAGAAGACAGTCTTTGGACTAAAGTTACCAAGGAGTACTATGTTGGGGGCAAAAAAGAAAACTAATGTAGATATCAGGAAGATATTTTAGTACATGGATGCCTACTGGGTGAGGGAGAAAGATAGACTGCCTCTTCCCATGTTATTTATAGCCTCTGAAACTTCCATGGGTGAACTATGAGTTGGTTCTGACTGTAGGGTAATCAGTTAATTTGTTATATTTTTATGTGGTTTTTAATAGAAGTAGTTTGTGAGTTTGATTTTCACCTTTAGATGATAATTTTCATTCTGCCTCAGTCTGATTTCATAATTTATCATATGGAACTATGAAGAGATATAATTTTGATTTCAAAGTTCATTATGTATTTCATTAGGTTTTATTTCTGAGAATATAGTTTTGTGTCAGAAAATTTATGACATACATTTCTGCTGTTCTCAATACTGGTCTGTATTAATGACATCACAGTCTTTCTTAGAGTGGAACTGTGCAAGCCTTGTCCTAGTTTATATAATCTTAAACTAAAGTCTGTGATATGGAATCTGTTTTTATCCTCTTAAATAAATTAGTTCATGGTGCATGTTTTTTTTGAGACTGTAGACCTTCTAAGATTTGTACAGAAATATTTTTCAGATTTTATTTAAAGATGTACATTGCTAGAAATCCAACTGTTACATCCAGGTAGACAGAATTCATATTGAACAATATATATTGTGATATTGAAATATCTGGACTCCATCTATGTGTTTTTAGCTTGTAACTCAGTTTTAAATACAGTGCATAGAAATGTATAGATGTTAAGGATTTCCTTTATTTTCTTAATGTTGTCACTGTGAATTTTTTAATAAGTATACTTACTTGCTATATAATATTAGTAGAAAGTTTATTTGATAATGACCTAACATGAATAAATGTGTATTTTGCCATCATCTTTTGCAGTTCGATTTCACATAGCCCATTTATATGAAACCCAGGTAAGTGTTTTAACTTAACCCTGTTTAAAACTAAAAATGCGCCATCATTCATGTTATGCTTTGATGAGAACAAAATTGTACATGTCATACAATGGTGTTCTGAACATAACTTATTACTTATACTTTGTATTTTATTCACTAAATGTGGCCATCATTAACATCATTCATAAAGAACATCATAAATAAAACATGTTGCTTATAAAGAACATCAGTTCTTTAATGAAAACTGATTTGTACACATAATTCAATGGAGTTATGAACATGATTACATGTACTTAGTATTTTATTTACGGCCAAGACTTTCCTTACAGAAACATGATTGTTATTATTAGAAATATGAAGGAATTTGAAATTCTTACATATTATATGTATGTTATCTTTGTTTTGTACTTTAAAATCATAACTTAGTGGACCTCCAGAATGTCTTCTGAGTCCCTATTTTTCTCCTGTAGAGTAGGTATTGAATTAGAATCACGTACCTTTGGGTGGACTGTGCATAGAAATTTAATTTGTTTAGTGTTATTGTTAAGGCAAGTGGAAATCGGTATGACAATGAAAAGTAGGTTATTCTAATTTAAGGGGAAAAAGCAATTTACTACACAACTGCGTAGGGGTACAAGGATAATATGGATTGAAGATATATGAACTTTATAAGCCAGTATAAAATTAAATTTAAAAAAAAAAACACCAAAGTGAAGATACTGTAGAACAAATAATCCATTTATAAGTAAATTTTAATAGAATAGGAGTATTACAGTTTATCATATATATATTAAAAGAAAAGCCTTCATGGGCAAATTTCATTTTTTGGATCTTATTGGGTCCCAAGTCAAATCACCTATAAAAATCAATATAATAGACAATTTGTATATTTCAGCACTCATTGGATGTTTATTATCAAATAATTATTGTTACAGTTTCTACCTGTGTTTATATTTTTTTAAGCTATTTTTGAAATCTCTATTTGAGAACCATTTACAAAACAAATGATAAGGTTCCTGGAATTTGCTTCAGAATGATGTATAAGGATGAGAAACATAGACTTCAATAAGTAAATAAGTTCAGTAACTGGGTGGAGAGTGAGTGGCTGAAATAAGATCCATGACTTGAAAATTATTGAAAAGGATGTTGAATGTACAGGACTTCTGTTTGTACTTTACTGTTTTAAAATTTCCATAGTTAAATGTTAAAACTGGAAAGGTAATTTATTTGGAATGGTTAATGAAAGTTCTCTGTAAGTAGGAAGTATTTGGGCTGCGTCCTTAATGACTTAATTTCAGTGATGAAATCAATTGAAGATGGTGCTATGTGTATGTATATGTCTTACAATATATACAGCATTTTAAGATTGAGATTATAATTTTTAAAAGACAAAAAAGGAGGCCTTGTTTCTCATATTTCTGTGCCTTATTTTATATATTTCTGCTTCCTCCCCCTTCTCTTTATTACAGTAGCTTGTAATTTGATAAATTTTTAGAATGCAAAGATGCTAACATATTTAGTAAGCTGTTTTTATCTTTCATACATTATTGTTTTTATAAATAACTAGAAAGAAATATTTTTATATCTACTGGTATTAACTATTCTGAGATGGTGTTTTTCTTTCACTTTGGTGAAATTAAAGAAATGAATAATTATTTTTTAATATAAAAATTTGTTTTCTGTGAAGACCAAGTGAAAGAATGAAAATAAAACTTTTTGTTTAAAATAAAAAAAAATTCTAACTATGAAAAGGAACACTAACATTGAGAAGAATGGGAATCCCAGAGCATTTAATTGTGCTCATATAGAATCTATACCTAGACCAAGAAGCTATTGTGCAAATGGAGCAAGGGTGTGCATCAGAGTTGTATTCTTTCTCCATACTTAAATTCAGTTGTATGCTGAATAATATGCAAATCTGGACTCTGTGAAGAAGAATGTGGCATCACTATTGGAGAAATACTAATCAACTACCTGCGTAATACAGATGTCACAACTTTTTTTTTGTTGTTTTTTGATTTTTTTGGTTTTTTGATTGCTGAAAGTGAGGAGGATATGAAATGGTTGCTGCAGAACATAAAGGACTACAGCTTTTTGTTTAAATTATATCACAACATGAAGTAAAGAAAGGGTCCTCACTGTAGACCCAACAGTCAGTGTGATTGATGAAGAAAGAATTCAAGGTGTCAGTGATTTCATCTTGTTTGCATCAGCAGTCAATACCCTTGATACTACTAGTCCTGGGCAAGTCTGCTGCCTGGAATCTCTTCAAAATGCTATAGTCAAAAAGACTATGTCTTGGATTAGGTGCACCTTAGTCTCCATACTGATGCCATTGCTCTTCAGTACTTGGGAGAGGTCCGTGACAGCAGACTTGTCCAATGCAGTTGGTCTTTTGTTTTCCTGACTGCTGGTACCAAGATTGTTGATTGTGGAGCCAAGCAAACTAAAGCTGTGAACAATCTCTGGATCTTCACCGACTGTCATAATGCTGCCAATTGGCCAAGTGGTGAGAGTCTTTATTTTCTTGATGTTGAGCTTCATTGGCTACATTCCTAGGAATTTTGTAATTTTATGCTGTTAGTTGGAAATAAGTATAAAAAAGTCTCTACAGCACTTGACCCTTGTAGAAAGAAAAAGGGGATACTAGAGGATCAAAGCATGCAAAGAAAAAAAATATTCACCATTAGTACCAAAGAAATTATAAAAACCATAAATCAGAAAATAATGATATTATGTCCAAGACATTGAAATGATAAAGGAGTGAAAAGTCTCTTGCGTATATAATTTTTGTTTAGTTCTGATGCTTAGAAACTATGTCTCATCTATGCCAAAATAAGTTGAATAATTAGGCTAGAATGTAGGCCAAGCCAAAATAGAATAAGGTAAGCAGGAAGTCTGATTATATTTTAAATTAATAACAACCACTCAGAAGAAGAGAACCGTGTTTAACTAAAAAAAGAACTGTAAATAAATAGTTTTTCATGTGGATATTAATTAAAAATTCCATAACTACTTAGGGGAGCATTGGTGGCCTAGTGATAAGAAGCTGTGCTGCAATCCCAAAGGTATGTGGTTCAAATCCACCAGCTGATCTGCGGGAGAAGGATCCACCTATGTGATTACTGTCTCTGAAAAATTCACCAGAGGGTCAGCTATGGGTCGGTTCTGACTCAGTGGTACACAACAGCAGCATAACTACTTTATGGAAATCTTAGAGATAAATTAAGTCAATCTAATGTGTAAAATAGGAACCAGATTTCTTATTGTAACAAAAGTAAAAGGCTAGATGGAATTGTTTGTAATTGGAGGTATCAGTGTGGACTGAACTTTTTAGAATCAAAAGTAAAAAGTGAATCTAGAGAAATAAATATGGGTCAGAAACATGTGAATGTTTGTATGTACATAAATATATTTGCAGGGAGAACCTAGAAGCATTGGTGGTTGTGTGCTGTCGAATTGAAATTAGCAGAGGCTTTAAATCTCCTGAGAGGAGATTTCCCATGTTTCTCTCTCAGAAGAGCTTTTTTACCATTAGACCATCAGAGCTGTTTATCTATTCCTGTAGTTCTTGTTGTGTACTGTCAGTTTGGAACCAATTCATAGCTGACACCCCAGTGGGTTTTCAGAGACTGTAAATACCATTAGAGGAGACTGCCCATCTTTCTCAAGTGCTCAAACGGTGGATTCAAACCACTTGCATTTTGATCGGCAATGTAACTCCTTAACACTAAGCCATTAAAACTCGCTCTCAGAGTAAATGTTATTGAGTACTATCAAGTTGAAACTGACCTATAGCTGACCCTATGGCATCTTCAGAGGCAGTACATTGCACAGGAGGAGTTTACCCATCTTTTTTCCTTGGAGCAGCTGGTGGATTCTAATTGTGAACCTTTGCATTGACAGTCCAGTTCCCTTACCAATAAGCCACTAGAGTTCCAAGAAGTACTGGCGAGCATTTCCCTTACAGCCTCTAAAAACCCTATGGAATGTCAACTGGGTTGGTTACAACTTGATGGTAATGACAGAGAGAGTAGTAGTGAACACATAAGTCTTGGTTTTTAAATACCAGGTTTAGTAAAATGAACTTCCAGTATATTTTTTTAAATTTTTATTAAACTTTATTTTATTGAACATACAGAGATTTTGGATTTCTGTTCATTCCTTGTTGCAGTATTTTCTCTACCCCCCATCCCAGTTTGTTCCTCTTTTTTCCCCCCTTGAAAGTCTGTTTGAATTGTCCCATTGCCACAATGCTTGTCAAAGCCAGTTCTGATTAGTCTCCTTTGTCAGTGTGTCCTTTGCCATTCCCTATCACTCCTTCCTGAGAGAGATTTCACCCTGATTCATAAGGAAAAGGGGACGGCGCTTTCTCTTAGCTACTTCCTGCTGAAAAGGGATGCTGTAGGTTTCAGAGTGAAGATCTTCTCTCACTACTCTAAAGGGCCCCTTTGACAATAGGAAACACGTAGACTACTGTGGAGATTGATTTTGGAATTTAGATGCACTGTTATCAGTTGTGCTTAGCCATACATGTTCATATCGTTGAAGATGTATCATGGAACTGTTGCTGCCTAGAAGACACAAATTTAACAAGTTACATGAGTCAGAAATTAAAAGCAATAATATTCGAAGTAGAGGTTCTAACAGTGGCACAAATCAAGTTACAGAGGGAAGGTAGTTCTTAAAATAAAAGGCTTATTGACTAACACTTTGTTTATTATAGTATAAAGGTTAGGAACCACAAGATATAGAGGCTCAACTATGTCATTTATTGTTCTTAAGTCCTCGACCTATTCCATCTACCACTGGGTTGTTTTACAACTTGGAAGTCCGCATGCAAGGCAGAGGTAAAGTAAGGAACTGCTTATGAGGTTTTCCATCAGTTCCAGCAACTAAGAAATAGTTAGAAGAGCTAGGACCTCAGAAGGCTTTTAGGACCAAATAATTGGCTCTTGTGCCCAGGAGAAAATGAATATACTTACCAGTAATGTTAATGCTCACCCACAGCTCTTCTG